TGACGGCAGAAATACTCCAGCTCTACAGCAGCAGAACTGCAGACACATTACATTAGGTAGTTGGTAGTTGTTCTTCCCAAATGCAGACAGGATCAAAGTATCACAGGCTGAAAACCTAAGAGCGCTGGTAACTGCTTGTGAATCTTTCATATATTACCATTTTATATTGTTGGTAGTCTGCCACGTTAGCTTGAAGAAACAGGCCTTATTCATGAAGGGCTTTGTGCTAAGCCCACCAATGAATATATCACACTAGTAGGTTTTTTAAATTATTATTCTTTATCTCATCTTTTTATTCCTGCTCTTCTTTACTTCCTTCCCTTTCTTATAACTGGCATGTAAAGCAATAACCTGTGTCTGCACCTGTGCCAGTATAATACAGGTTCATGTACACTGGACACATACACAGCTGAAGTAAATACATGTACGTGCTCTATGTATCACATAGACCATAATGCAGTTAGTATCTGCATTCATGGAGAGAGCTCAGGGAAGGCACTGGAGTAGCTGGAAGACTGCTCTGTCCTAGTCGGGGATTGCATTTTCTAAACACTTCTATGTCAAAACCTGCTTTGGCCCCAAGGAACAAACTCTCCCTTTCTTGCTGCCTTCTCTCAGTCTGTAACCTTATTGAGAGTTTTGTCCCTTCCCTGCCTCCTGCCAAGTCCTCTACATTGCTGTCCTTGCTCAGATGGCACCATTGTGCTTTGTATTGGAAAACAAAAGATAACCCACAATGCTATGGAGAACTACGTTCCACTAGGACTGGGTTTTCCCTGAGAGCTGGCAGGCTGTATTTGCAGTACCCTGGCTGGTTTTAGGAGTAGGAAGAACTCACTTCTTCATACAGAAGTTATAGAAATAAAATAAATAAAAAAATAATGTACCATACATAGCAGCATTATGAGGAGCAGCTGAGGGAACTGGAGTTGTTTAGCCTGGAGGAGTCTCAGAGGAGACCTTATCGCCCTCTACAACTGCCTGAAAGGAGGGTGTAGCCAGGTGGGTGTTGTTCTCTTCTCCCAAGTAACAAGTGATAGGACAAGAGGAATTGACCTCAAGTTGCGCCAGGGAAGGTTTAGATTAGATATTAGGAAAAAATTCTTCACAGAAAGGGTTATCAGGCACTGGAACGGGCTGCCCAGGGAAGTGGTTGAGTCTCCATCCCTGGAGGTATTTAAAAGACAGGTTGATGAGGTGCTTAGGGACATGGTTTAGTAGTGGACAGGTACGGTTGGACTCGATGATCTTAAAGGACTTTTCCAACCAAATGATTCTATGATTAACTGAAATTATTATATAGCATGAGACACACCTAATCTTGCAACAGCAAAGAGATTGTGAGCTATTTTAATGCCATAGTAAGTTATAGTCTAAGTCTGCCCTTGAAGAAGTGGGTCAAGAGATCTCAGGCTCAAACTGGGGGAAGACAGGGAATGAGAGACAAACAGAAAGCTTAGCCGGTACTGTCTCCCACTTGAATTCCCAAGGGTGTCACATTCCTTACCAGCTGTCTAGCAGCACTTGCTCAGAACGGTGATAAATTCTTTTCTGTCTGAAAACATGAAAGAAGGCAGCAGCCACTGCACCAAGACAGGAAAGGCCACGTGGCTCCTGGTCTCACTGTGGTGGAACAGGGGCAGAACGCACAGGACAGTGTGTGGGATCAGAGCAGCACAGGTTTCTAGTGGCAGGACACATCCTACAGTTGGAAAGTTATTAGGATTAAAACAACCTGTGAAATTAAAACCAAATAGCTATTCCAGAATAACAGCATGTAGAGACAAGCCCTATAACCTTGGAAGTCAAATGCAAATGCTGAGCTTTAACTTTGGATTACTGTTAATCAATTAAGCTGGCATAGCCCCATTCTTTTATCCAATGCTACCTGAGTTAAAAAAAGAAAAAAAAGGCAGCTATTAGCTCCATTAAGGTATTCAGAGTCAAGAGTATAAAGATCTCCAGAGTCTTTTTAAAATGTTCTATTTTGGGTTACCCCAGACAGCACCATCCCAAAATGGCCATATGCCAATGTGTCTCAGTATTTTGTACTAGAGGAACCAGGTGCAGATTAACTGTACAATTATTTATTGCAATAATTCCTCATTTCTCCTCCTTAAGGTTTGGGGTTTTTTGGTTTTGTTTATCTGTTTGTGTTCTTTTCCCCAAGCACCATTATTTAAACAAAGAAACGGTATGTAAATGGCTTGATGAATAATGCTCTGAAGGACACAGGTCACACAAGCCACTCGGCAGCACTCTACCCATATAAGCTTTTTTGTCACTAGGCAGATTGACAGGCTGTGGAACACCCACCCCAGCCCCAAGTTCCCCATCCCAGACTGGGCCCTGTCCTTACACATCCCATGACAGATGCTTTGCTCGACCCCTTCCCCTTTTTGTAGAAGCCTGTATGGACTGCAGGAAGCATCATGGGTTTAAAATCTAATCAAAGCAAGTCACAGCACACTTTCCACCTGAAGTATACTCTTGCACTACTCCAGTATGAAAGAACTTGAGCCTTGTCACAGTGAATGGGTGGGGGAAGAAAGGAAAAAGAAGGGTAGAAGGAAATACATGAGAAAACACGGTGCAGGCAGCTACCAGGAAAATGAGAGAAGATAAACTCTTGTAAATGGTATTCCCTAATTAGGGGAGTTACGACCATTGGCAGATCAAAGCACCAGGCGAGGCTAGAGTATTCCATCCATTGCAAACTTTGCCCAAGAGCAGCCCAAAATGCTACATTTCGTACCTATGAAGTTCAAACTCACCTATAGATTTGATGGGCGGACTGTTCGGTGGATGAGGAATTGGTTGGATGGTCACATCTAGAGGGTAGTGGTCAACAGCTCCATGTCCAGACAATGTTCCTCCAAGTGGTGTTTGTCAGGGGTCCGTATTGGGACCAGTACAATTCAGTACCTTCATCAGTGACATAGACAGGGGGATTGAGTGCACCCTCACCAAGTTTGCAGATGACACCAAGCTGAGTGGTATGGTTGACACACCTGAGGGATGGGATGCCATCCAGAGGGACCTGGACAAGCTCAAGAAATAGGCATGTGTGTACCTCATGAGATTCAAAAAGGCCAAGCACAGGATCCGACACCTGGGTCAGAGCAACCCCTGCTATAAATACAGGCTGGGGATGAAGGGATTGAGAACAGCCCTGTGGAGAAGGACTTTTGGGGGTACTGGTAGATGAAAAGCACTTGCAGCCCAGAAGGCTAACCATATCCTGGGCTGCATCAAAAGCAGCATGGCCAGCAGGTTGAGGGAGGTGATTCTACCCCTCTACTCCACTCTGATGAGACCCCACCTGGAGCACTGCATCCAGCTCTGGAGCCCTCAGCACAGGAACAACATGGACCTGTTGGATCAGGTCCAGAGGAAGGCCACAAAAGTGATACAAGGGCTGGAGCACCTCCCCTATGAAGAAAGGCTGAGAGAGTTGAGGCTGTTCAGGCTGGAGAAGCCTGCAGGGAGACCTTATTGCAGCCTTTCAGTACTTAAAGGGGGCTTGTAAGAAAGACTGGGACAAACTTTTTAGCTTGGCCTGTTGTGGTAATGGTTTTAAACTAAAAGAGGGTAGATTTAGACTAAATAGAAGGAAGCAATTTTTTTTTTTTTTTTTTTTTTTTTTTACAATGAGAGTGGTAAGACACTGGAACAGGTTGCCCAGAGAGGTGGTAGATGCCCCATCCCTGGAAACATTCAAGGTCAGGTTGGACGGGGCTCTGAGCAACCTGATCGAGTTGAAGGTGTCCCTGCTCATTGCAGGGGGGCTGGACTAGATGACCTCTAAAGGTCCCTTCCAACCCAAACGATTCTATGATTATGTAAGTTATCTCCTCTCCCAAAATAAGATACCAAGCTATAAGGCACTAAGATAATGTTATCCTTATCTGCTTGTGTTTCACTACTCATTTATACGTTTCTTCTATCCCAGGTGATAAGGAGGGAAGAGAGATGACTACTTTTGTGACAAGACAGTAGTACTGAAGCAGCAGTTTTATGCACTAACTTTTCTAAAGCAATGAGGTAGTTTTAGCCATCCAGCAGGGCATGCCCTGTACAAGCCTCTTCCTTGTACGCAGTTGGGAACACTGTATCAGCCTAGGATTAAAGCAAATCTTTTAACTGACCATCTTATAATTCCTAGAAGACAATAGGTAATATTTACTCAGCTGCATAGCAAAAACCCTGAATACAATCCTGCCTATCATGGCAGGAACACTCAGTCACGTACCCACACCCCCTTTTCCTTGGCAGGGGGAAAGAAGCAGTAGGTATCAGGATCCAGGGGACACTTGCCTAAACTCAGTACATACAAAGGATAATACCACTTACTTTTCTGGCTTGTTTTTGCTTAGTGCTGTTACTGTAACAAAATGACACTCCATACTGAAATTCCATTTCGGTATCTGGTATCACAATATGATAAACAAACCTTTTCAAAACGTTGAAGGGATTTATTGCCATTTGGAACATGCTTGTTGTTCAAAAACACCGCACTGAAATAAAATCCATCACATACTTTTTTTTATCATCTATATCTTTACATCAATGTAACTTTCAGACAGGTCATGCAAGAAAACCACTCTCCCAATCATGAAAGGCACCTTGTGTCCTTCAGATCTCAGACTCCAAACAAGTTAAATTTTTCCCTGTATAAGGATTAGATACATCTAGAACAACTCAAACAGTAGGAAGAAAAATAAAATCCATTTAGAACTTCTTTAAGAACAGTATCACACTTCATTGCTTTCCTTCATTCAGTGCTATGCTTTTGCTTTTCTGAGTCTTCTTTAAATATTGTGCGACTTAAAAATGTATGTTAATGAAGTCTCTTTACTGAGACAAGGCATGCAGTAAGGAAAGAGGGAAAGCTGGTCACTTCCAGGCTGCCTATCTACACATTTGTTCTTGTAGATTAGCAAGCCACTGCTTAAGTTAAAAAAAAAAAAAACAACAAAAAAAACAACACACCAAAAAGACACCAAACAGAATAGGAATGAATGCACACAAGTTAAATGGCTTTTAAGAATATGTTAATACATAGAACAATGATACCACCTACAGTTCTGTTTACTGACCTCTGTTCATGTTGATTTGAAAACAAGTTTTGTCAAACCATCACAGGCCACTTTTGTAGACTGTTAGATAAAAAAAGTTGGTTCTCAAATATTGCTTGTTATTTGGATGACTAACTCTTTATTAAAGGGTAGTTAATTAAGGACCTGTAAGGCAGTAAGAATTTAAATGCAATGGTTTACATTGCTGAATACTACTTTTTAGAAGGCAAAATAAAAAATTATTAGAAGCATTCTTGGTGGGGTCATATTCATAATTGATGTTTCCGTTTTATCCCCGTTGTAATTGTCACAGCAACTGTAGATGGCAAATCCTCCTTGGTTGTAATTCAGGATGAACACATTCCCTGGCTTATTTCAAGTTAGATATTTAGTTCTTTTTCTCCATCCTGCCAACAGAAGAAGAGCTTTTGTAAGAATGAATATTGAACTGCAATTGCTATAAAAAAATACCTGGATTTACAGTAGAACTTTAGGAATGAAGGACACCTGGTTAGTTATTTATGCAAAGGCAGGTCCCCTTGCAGTTTTGCTCAGTCTCATTTTTAATTAATAGTTCAGGAGGCTTCATCCTCTCATTGCCCCACATGGATTTCTTGGAGCAGAAGAGAGGAAAAGCCATAGTCGTGACTCATCAGGATTGCTCAGGGCAGTGTCTGCACTACTTGCTACATAATGAGGGTATGAGACTGCTTGTAGGCTGTTCCCTGGTCACATTCAGTTGGATCTACCCCATATATAGAACAGTCAGCTTGGAGGTTTTACTTCCTTTCTCTTTCAGACATATAATCCATTCACAGTTATATGGGCATTTCCATCTCAGGAATTAGTTACTGCGATGGACACATGCAGACTAATCAACACAATATAAGAGACAAACTCCAAAATAGCCATCTGCTGCTGAAAGCCCTGTCTATATCCATGACCGTAAGGGCTTCCAGCCTCTTCTGTGTGCACCCATCAGAAACTTCATAGGAGGTGCAAGGCAAGAAGTCATAGTTCAGCCTACTGACAAGCAGCTCATTAATAGATTTGCAAAAGATAGTGAAATTAAACAAGTTCAGAAAATATGCAGGGCTTTGCACCACAGCTAAAAGCCACTAAGAAAGAGTATTTCAAGCACCATCAGTTTATGACTTCCCCTTTTCAAAGTGTGACTTGCCTGTATTTGATCAGTCGTCCTCCTTGAATAAGTTGTGCAACTTCATTAGTCAAGTGGCATGCAAAAAGAAGCCAGTTCCTTGGCTGCACTTTGTAGGCAAATCTCATGAAAGTCAAGGAGTAACAACACAGTGCTGCAAAACATTATAAATATGGTTAGTGTATTTTTTAATATCTGCATTTTGTTGAGGCTTAATTTTCATAGTAGTAGAATGTAATGACAAGCAGAACACTTCTCACTGCTTTTGAGTTTTCCAATAATCCTACAATATTTTCCACTTTAAGGATCCAACGTAGGAAAACAAAGAACAGTTAATTTTTGCTACGCAAAAACACCCCTACAGAGCTGCAGCTGTCAAAACCTCATTTTCCTCATACACTTTCCTGTGATGCAGCTAAAGCCTTTTTAATTTGTTGCCTAAACTATCTCAGCCAGAGAATAAGAGTTAATCCCAAGGAGACATAGCCTGTTCTATACAATTATTCTGACAATTTCTAGGACAGTATTTTTAGAAATACTAATTACTTAAATACAGATCTTACTGGAAACATTCTAAAATGGACTTTAAGAGAAGGAAGTTTCCATCCCCAGAAAACCATGAACATTCAGAAGCATAAAGCTTTGTTACCTGCTTTCCAGGAAGATGAGAAACAATTTTAATCTACTCTCCTGCCCTAAGTGCATGTAAGTACAGGAAGTTACAACCCAAAAAGTCACTAGTTTTGCAAAGTTCATTTTTAGCTTTCTGACAGGCTTAAAGGAAAAACATTAGGAAATTACTCATTCAAGAAAACAGCCTTTTTTTAGGTACAGAACCTAGAAGATGGGAAAAAAGTATTTGTACACTCACCATCATGCTTACAAAAATAAAAAAAACGTGTCTTAACTTTGCTAAACTGGGTAGCTGCCACAAAAGCACTACTTGCAAAACAGTTTCACTATACTAGAGACTATTCAAACTGGTATTTCATCTTTAGGAAGTTTACTAAAATTGAATTACTCTAAGCAGAACCTAGCGAGCATGAGGCTATAAATCTCCTTAACCCAAAGGTTTTTTGCTGCGGGTAGAAGAATTACTCAGAATTAAGTTATTAACTGAGTTAAGGAAGAGATGTAATGCCAAAATTAAGCTAATAAATTAAGGCTATCAGATTTATGATCCTAGAGAAGTATTTAAACAATAAAATACAGAGACAGACATGTAGGCAAAAGCTATACATGTTCCAAAAAAGGTGGGAAAAATACTGGTTACGCATGGAAAAAAGAAGTTCTCACACTATTCCATTAAGAGTCATGCTAGCCTCTCACAGGCAACTGCTTTGCAAGAAGTTAATGTCCCTCAGCTGCTTGCTTTCTGCACCCTGCAGACCAAGCATTACCATTTCTGCACTTTGGCAGTGTTGATATTTAAGTCTCAGACTAACCACAAGGCATCGTTGTTCTCGACATAAACAATAAAGAGATGCATTCTGAACCAGTGCATGCAGTAGTACAAGATACCAAAAGTATTATACTTGAGGAGCAAGTCAGGTGATCTGCTAAGATTAAAGACCCACCTCCCTCCCACCAAATTACTGGAAAGCCCTCTGAAAGAGAGCTCTGCAACTTCTCAGTACCTCAATTTTTAAGTGTTCTCTCAATTTATGTAACAAGGTATTTGATATCTGTATCTGCTTTGATCACAAGCAACTAATAATCACTGCTTGAGGAACAGAATCTGTGTTCTCTAGCCAGTTTACTGACCAGAAGTTTGTCTCAGGTCTTACCAAATGTCATTCGGCCACTAATGATTTCTGGAGATTTCTTCATGTCATTAATAGCAGCAACAGGAAGTCCCCAATTGGCAACTGGCCCCCAAAAGTGCTGTAAAGAGTGAAAAGGAAAATAAATTACGCAGGAACACAGACCTCATGCAGTATTTCTTACAATTTTCTTTAGCCACACAAAGCTTCAGAGAACAGGGTTAAGGTTAAGAATCCAAGTTAAGATAGGGACTACTTTTGATGTAAGGGAGAAAATCTAAACCCATTTTAGCAGGACCTAGTCTTCAGGAGGGAAGGAAGAAAAACCCACTCTGAATTTTCTTGTAGAGTGAAGAGAAACTACTGTAAGGCCCTTGAAATGCAGTTTTGTGTAATTGTACCTCAGCCATCATTAAGCAGTCTGATTGGTACAGTCATATAATAACCTCAGATTTACAGCTCACTTCTGTGCAGTGAACGAGCACTCCTCTCTTTCAAACAGGCTCCTCAAAAATGTAAACACAAGGACTTGCTGAAGCGAAGAACTGGAACTGTTTTCATGTTATGCTGAGAAAGAAGAAATGCTCAGCAAGCATCTTCTTCCAATTGTTTACACCATCTCTTTGAAAGAGCAGCACCATGCAACCAAACCAAGTTGTTACCTACAGCTTCAGCTGCAATTGCTGAAACAGCTTAGTGACTACCTAAAGCTCAGTGATTAGACAGATGTAAAAGTAGAGCAGTTAGCTACAGGTGCCTACACAGGTAGAAACACAGAGACAAGAAGTGGAAAGAACCAAGTCAGAAAAAACCGACGAGAGCTCAAGTTGATGGGTATCATCTAAAAGACTCCAAACTGAGTCCAATTTCCGCTACTGTTGTTAATTAACAAGGCTTCAGAAGAATTCTTTCCACAGAAGGTGTATGCAGTACTTGCATCAGCTTCTCTTCATGGGAAACCAAGGATGGTCAAAAGTAACTTGGCTAGATATGGCAAGAGAGCTTTGCAAAATACCAACATACCCATTCTTTTGACAGTTCCCCTAACCACAACACTGCAGATACTACAGTGATTTGGAATTGTCAGGGAATATTTAGGTTTCTTGCAACTTTAATTCCAAGATAGTATTGCCTGTCTAATTACTAGCTGGTAATACTACACTAAGATTAAAAGCCAGACTTGCTTCCTGCAGATTTGGGTTGCAATACATGAAACTAACTAAAATAAAGTATAGAAAGAAGTGAGTTTAAGTTGTACACACTGTTTTGATAGTTTAGCCATAGTGCAATATGCAAAACAATGTAGTACTTCTGCAAGGTCTACAGAATGTGCATTGGTCCAAACTCAGATTTACAGTAAGAGTATTTTAAAGAGTACGATAAATGAATGTGTTTACTCCTACTAATAAGAAATGATATCTGTAATATCAAGCATATCAGAGATAACATGGCATAGCTGAGAAGAGTGGCATGGCTACATGGTATTTGCACTGTACAGCTCTAGTTAGATAGCGTAAAGAAATGTACCTGTAATACCACTTACACACAGGATATGTTGCAACAGAACAAGAACATTCACAGAAACTTAAGTCTGTAGTGAGAGTTATATGGTACCCTTTATTGTCTGAAGTAAAGCTAGTTAAAAATAAGCCAGGTAGTTCAGTTATGTACTAATATTGTTGCTATGCAAAAGAATGGCTCCAGACTGATCTGATCTCCTTAAAATATACTGCAAGTTACTGAAGTTAGGGAAAAAGTGAAACCAGAAATTCCCTCCTTTTTCCTTACCGTACTGTTGTGGGCCATCATTGTTTTCCATTCAAAAAGCACATGGAAGAAAAAGGAAAAAAGTATTAGCTTCTTTCATAAAGAACCGCAAACAGAAGATAGGTAGAAGTCAGGAAATTGCCATGGCATTAATCTTGATTAACATAACAGTATTAAAAATCCCATTCCCCTCAAGAGCTGTCATTGTGACAAGTGTTTGCTGCTCAAGTAGCTTTTTCCTAGCAAGATAAAATTCTATTATGGTCTGTGGAAGACATTCACCCCCTGTAGACTTCAAAGCATCCAAGTTCTTACCCCAACTAGTTTAAAAGGATGCCAAAAGCAGTCAAGGTTTGCCCATGACAAAGCTAAACAGCTGCTATTCCTCTGTGGAGACTTTGAAGAAATCACTCTGAATTTTTCCATATACCCACATAAGTAGGTGAAACCAAACACTGCCAGGGAACTTACAGTCACTAAGCTCAGGTCAACTCTGGCTGTACCAAACATGAGCTATTAACACATTTTCAGTGATCTAACATGCAATTACACACAGTTAGTCATGCAAGGGGTTAATTTAAGTGATCACATAAGTACCACTTTCTGTAACAGCTTAGTGATTTATGCCTGAAAGCTAGACTACAGCATATATTTAAGATTGTTTGCTCCTATAACTTTTAAAATGCTTCAGAACTTCTAAACATTCTCTTTCTAACAAAGGTACTGATAGGACTCAGAACTGAGTTATGATTTACAGGAAGCCAGCTACAACCAGAAAGCCTACTGCTGACCGATTGCTGCTCACCTACCACTGCCCCGAACTATGGAACACGTTGGTAACAGTCATGTCCCTCACACTGATTTCCATCTTCTTATAGCACTGCTTTACAAATAGCTATGGTAGGGGAACAGTCAGGTCTACTTCGGAAATCACACTGCATGTACATTTCTTTGTAACAAGCTGTGGGCTGGTTCACCATGTTTTGTTAGGGTGTCCTTGACTAGTCTAACCAGTTGTGTTCTGTTTTCTTATTAACTGAACTACAGCAATAATTGACATTCCCAAGACAAGTGCACACTTCAATATTGATTTTCATAAAACCTTAACTAAACAAGTTCAAAGGCGTCTCTTGGCACCATGTTTTTGTGTCAACAGAAGTCAGACTTCATTTTTAACGTGGAAGTTGTTTTCAAGGCAAATGAAAGCCTAAAATAGACTCAAACTTCTGCTGTTTAACAGAGTAGGCAGCTCTGGCTAAGGTCTATTGCACTCCTAGAAGAGGGCAGATCAAGGTCATGTAGACTCTTCCAGAAGCAGGCATCCAGCCCCAAAGCTCAGCAGCCAATACAGCTACCACAAACGCACCGTATCTAATAGCAAGCGCATGCACCTATTCCTGAAGTGACACCATTCCAAATTAGTAGTTTCCAAGAACTACATTCAATCCCTTGGGGGACTTGGTACAACAGTTGTTGAATTTACTCACTCAATTTCTGTGTAAGTATCAAGACATCACAAGAGGAACCATCAGCTGATCAATACCTTGTATTTCTACTACAATCTGCTCCAAAAAAAGCTGTATTGGGGAAGATTTATTTTTCCAGAGTTTTTGCACGTATTTTCCTCATACCAGCAATGAGGGTATTAACAGGCCAGAGACCACACTGCAAATACAGATGAACTGTCACCACTAGTTTCCCCCCCACTGCCACCCCCTAGGTGGAAAAAGTATTACGCTCCTGCAAGAACTAGATTGTTCAGTTCTCAGAGCACACAAGACGACAGCAGGTACTGTGTCCTTCAGTTTCTAGCACAGACTGGTAGAGGACATTTTTTTTAAATTCTTATATCCTTGTGTTTAAAGACTTACTAGTGAAGATAACTGAAAAAAAAAAATCCGCTAATTCTAGTTATACTACCGATGAACTCTTAAAAAGTTAATTTCAGTTAAAAGAAAGGTGCTTGACAGCTTACATCAACAGAAGTGCTCAAGCTTTACAAGGCATGAACTATCTATTTCAAAGCCATCTACTTAAAACAGAACCAGTACATTTGCATTACTGCTGAGTCATCAGGAAGCGACATTTCAGGAGTGCCCCAAAAGATGGCAGTCTCCATGCTTATTTTTCTATTACCAGAAGATTTGGGGACTGCTTGGGATTCATTATGTGACTAAAGCAATTTAAGGCTTCTACCACAAGAAGATGCCAGAATTTTTCTAGAGTGGCTTATAGGTTTTCTCTCTCAAGAGAAAAAGAAAGCTGTTTCACTGGACATTTTTTTAGAAGATGCTGTTTTAAATCTTTAGGCTAGGAAGTAAGAAGGCTCAGTTGCCTACTATTAGTGGCTTAGATAATACAACTTCAGTGGTAGCTGACATTTAGGGTGTACTAAATAAAAATGCAACTTCAAGTTCACAATGCATAGAGCTATCAATCTTTCATATGCTAATCAGCTCAATTAACATTATTGCTGCATTTTACAAGAAGCAGGAAGTCTACCTACAGCTTACATTCTTACTATGCTTACTTTAAAATAGTAAGACATGGTTAAGGTAAATCTAAACTTACATGATTTACAGTTATTCAGATCCCTATTAATCACCACTTGAGATAAGCCAGATGTGAAACTGTCAGAGCATTTAATTATTAGTAACAGTTTAAAAAGTAATTTATCTTGTTTCTTTGTGCAAGATCCAAAAGCTAACCCATGATGTAATGCAATTCTAATGCCAGATTTATCCACCTGAGAAAAGCAGCATACATTCATTACACTTGCTTTCATGTTTTCCAATTATGAAGCTGAAACTAGTTATCCCTAGGGGTCCCTTCTAACCCAAAACATTCTATGATTCTATGATCCCGATAGATGTCTGCAAGTTTTGATTGCCTCAAGCCATAATAATGGAACACTCAACTCTACCGCTTTGGGTAACTTCAGTTATTCTATTTAGGGTCAAGCAATTTAAAACACAGCACTGGTATCACAAACAATATCTCAGTTCATTGTTTCCCACAAACAAGTTTCTCGTTTATAAAGCCTTGCTTCACTGCAGTGATTAGATGCTGATTTCTAGAACAGATACCATAGTCTCAGAGCTCTGAGGAAACTCTTGCTCTATGAGCAAGGCGAGAAGGGAGTCTTCGGGACAGTCCTACAGTCTGAGGAAGCAAGAGCCTTCAGGAAGGAGTATGAAGAGATACAGCTCTATAGTATACATACTCCATTTCTCCTATGGAGAAGGCAGACTACAGTCTTTTGTTGACTGTTGATCTGAGTTTTAAACTCAACATAAAGCCAACAACTTAGACAGTCATCTCCCAGTAAGCAAGAAACAATGCTGAAAGACCATACCAG